CTGGGGGAAGAGAGACCAGGCTGGGTGCGATGGCTCATGCCAGTAATCCCAACGCTTTGGGAGGCCGAGGTGGGTGGATCACAAGGCCAGGAGTTCAAGACCAGCCTGGCCAACATGGGGAAACCCTGTCTTTACTAAAAAAAAAAAAAAAAAAGAGAGAGGCCAGACAGTGGAGCCAAAAACCCTTCTTTTCACAACTCCCTCCCCTCCTCTGTGGGAGCACCTCCAGCTCTGTGTTGCTTTTGCCTCTTCCTGTGATGCTTTAAGCCAAGGGTTCCATGGAGACAAGGAATTTGGCCTGTCACTGACATCGAGGCTCTCATGAGTTGAGCTAGGCTTTTGGGGCAGCAGTGAGCTTGATCCTGCTGGAAGGAGAGAATCCCATTGAAGGAGCTTCAGTCTGGACTCCTCCTGGTCCACAGAAGGGAGGTAGAGCTGGGCAATGATCCTGTGTCAGTGAGGAACAGGGAGCTGTCAGCCTGGGCTGGGGAAAATCCAGGTCTTCATACCAAGTTTTCTGTTTTTTCCCTCATTCAAGCACACTATGGCTGTCCTTTCTGAAACTCAGAGCAGTGGTGCAGAATGCGAGCCTGGGAGCCATTCTGCTGGGTTTGGGTTCTGGTTCTACAGGTGCTGGCATGTGACCTTAGACAAGTTATTTAACCACTCTGTGCTTCAGTTTCTGCACCTGTAAAATGGCCATGGTTCCTATTTCATAGTTTGTTATGAAGATTAAATGAGATGGTCCCTGTAAGTCCTAGAGCAGTGCCTCCACCGCCCTAGCACTGGTGACATTGATGGCAGCAATAACACAGATGGTGAAGTCCTTCTCCCCCCAGTGAATTTGGATGGCTCTTACATGGCTCCATGCCATTTGCACCTAATAAGTTATGTGGTTTTCATTCTTTGGCAAATCTCTCTAAATCAGTTCCTGAGCTTTTGCAAGGCAGGCTCACCTGTGGTCTGCCCATTTGATGAGGAGGTGGCCTGGGGAAGGGCCATGGGCTGGGAAGGCTGGGCAGCAGGGGCCTGGCATTAGATAGGTAACTTAGACATGCTCCATCCAGCTGGGTTCGTGCAGCAGCATGGGACAGTCCCTGGCGGGTGAGTCCAGCTTTAGGGCCCAGCCAACCTGAGCATAGCAGAGGTGGGAGCCTGGGCCTGGGGCATTCAGCTTCCTCGGAAAGGCAGCTCTCAGAGGGGCTCTCTGTGTGTGGGAGGTGTCCTGGATTGGGAGAAGCAAAATTTTCCTTTGGAGGGTGGAGGAGGGAGTGGCGGGTTCTCACAGGTAATTCCCACATCAGCGTGATTTCCTGGGCCTCTGCTTGCTTGACAGAAGCTCATTAGACATGAGGTGACCCCCTAAGTTTGGCCACAGAGGTGACCCCATAACAGCACTCACATTTACTATCGTGTTGACTTTGCCTATACCCATTGCTCAACTGTGAGCTCCTGAACGGCAGGCTTCATAGTGGTCTTGTTCCCTGCCTGGTAAACAGTAGATGCTCAGTAAGTGTTTGTAGAGTAAACGCAGAAGGCAGTAAGTGGTCCAGGCAATTTTTCCTTTTCAGAGGGCCATAGCAGTAGAAGCCCTGCCAGGTTGGGGTGAGTATTGCCTGAAGGAGGTCCATGAATCTTCTTTGGGTTTCCAGGGTTTTGGAACAAGTCACACGTCTAGAGGTGGTTGGGATACACTGTATCTCCCAACCCCTGGGCCACTAAGGGTCACTTCTCTTGGCATGGTCTTGGGAAGGGCCATGGATCAGGGGGTTCCAGCTGCACAGGCTAGTCCTCTGAATCCCAGATCACCTGAAGTTCAGGCAGATGAGCTGATGCACGTGACCAGTGGCTTAGTAAATCCACATACTGACTCCAGCCGTGGTCTGCACTGGTTTCGTGAAGCCAAACGGCAACCAGTCAACAAACCAACAACTCTGAACGGTCATTCTGATGATACCGTTCACGTCTGCAGGCATGGGCACGTGGTGGTGTCGGGGTGGTGGAGGTGACAGATGATGATCAATCCAGCAGTGGTGGCAGCCTCTGACTTGGACCATTTTGGTAGCTGTGACCTCATCAGGGGCTGCTAGACAGGTGGCTCTCACCACGTAGATCTTATAATGATTCATGACAGCTATTGTTTAAGGGCATGCTATCTGCCAGCCAGTGCATTTACAATTATCATTCCTTAGAACTGCCCCATGAGCTGATATTCTCCCAGTTTCATAGGAAACTCGTCTAGGCAGGTTAGGTAACGTGCTCAAGATGATACAGCTAATAAGAGGCCAAGCTGGTACCCAAAGCCAGGACACTGTTTGCTTCTAAGGCATGTGCTCTTAACTATGATACTATGCTGCGTTCCTACAGTGACATAGAATTAATTAAATAACTGAAAAATTGTATCCAGGAACTGCTGCGTTTTGCAGCTTTTAAGCTGTTGCGTCAACTATCTTCAGTAACAGACACACACAACACACTCACTTCTGCATGTGTATTTACTTCTGCCATGCATGTTTTTCCTGCCCCCATCCCATTCCATCCATCTATCCATCCATCTATCTGTCTGTCCATCCATCCATCCATCCATCCATCCATTCATCAATCCATCTATCCATTCATCTCTCCATTCATCCATCTATCCATTCATCTCTCTATCCATCCATCCATCTATCCATCCATTCATCCATCCATCCATCTATCTATCCATTTATCCATTCACTCATTTATCCATCCATCCACTTATCCATCCATCTGTCCATCCATCCATCCACTTATCTATCCATCCATCCACTCATCTATGTATCCATCCATCCATTCATTCATCCATCCTTCCCTTTAGCCATCCACTCATCCATTAATCCATCCATCCATCCATCCATTTATCCATCTACTCATCTATCTATCCATCCATCTATCCATCCATCTATCCATCTGTCTGTCCATCTGTCCATCCATTTATCCATCTACTCATCTATGCATCCATCTATCCATTCATCCATCCATCCATCCATCCATTTATCCATCCACTCTTCTATGCATCCATCCATCTGTCCATCCATCTGTCTGACCATCTGTCTGTCCATCTATCCATCCATCCATCCATCTGTCCATCCGTTCATCCATCTGTCTGTCCATCTGTCCATCCATCATCCATCCATTTATCCATCCATCCATCCACTGATCCATCCATCCATCTGTCCATCTGTCCATCCATCCGTCTGTCCATCTGTCCATCCATCATCCATCCATCCATCCATCCATCCATCCATCCATCCATCCATCCATTCGTCCAGCCATCTGTCTAACAAACACTTACCAGGTGCTTCCTGTGTGCCCCAGGACACTGTTAAGTCCTGGGTATATGTCAGTGATGACGTATTCCTTATCTTTCTCATGCTCCAATGGGGGATGTTATCCAAGTAAACAAGCAATTAGAATGCAGAGTTATAAATCCTGCCCACTGGAGGAAGGTGCCGTGGCACCCGAGCAAGTAGGAGGAATGACTGACGCCACCATGAATAGTTAGGGGGGGCTAGCCAGAGGAAGGATCCATCTACATGAGACCTCAGGGAAAGATTTTTCTAAGGAGAGGAAATAAAACATGAAAAGGCTCAGGGATGAGAGAACAATGTGCTGGCTGATCAGCTGCTTATTTATGATTTCTTCAGCTGCAGTCAGCGATAGAAACTTGCACAGTGAAGCAACTCTATTTTTGCTATAGGCTTCTGCTTCCCAGGTTCTTTGTCAGGTCCAGGCTTCTGGACAGAGGTGGCTTGGCACTCTGTTCCCAATCACTGGCTGCCTTGTGGCAGTGGCCAGCTCCCATGGTGTGTGAGGCCTTGATTTCCATTTGGCCAGTGGCCTTTGGAAATTTTCTATTCTACATGGATATTTTCTACTCTCACCTGCTCTTCTTACTGGGTTTTGCTTCCTTCTCAAGGCCAAGTTTAGCATCTCTGGTCACAGGTGTCAACTCCATTATGTCCCAGATGAAAGAGGCTGCTCACCCCCAGGCAGAGGGGCTGCCACATTTTCAGGAGCCCTCTAGGAACCCTGGCTGCAGAGAGAGCTGAGTTGGAGGCCTCCCTTCTGCATTTTCTTGATAGTCAGGGCAGCAGCTCCGTGTCGTAGCATCACCAGGATCAAGGGAAATGTGTATTAGTCCAACCTTAATTTAACTTACAATCCCTGCCAATTTCATGTTAGCAGATCCTTTCGGAGTTGGAAGTAATGGCCCATATAATGCCTCGAGCTGGAGCAATGACTTATGTTGATGTCACTCACTGGCTTTTTATGGAAATTATTAATAAATCAGTAATTCTGTCTGCAGTGATGTTGTTGTGTTTATAAATATTTAATTTACCTTCAGGTGCCCACATTTTCTTCATCTCTACCTTAAACTCTGCTGACGTTGCTCTTCTTTTGGAAGCGCTGCTCACTAGATTGAAGTCATCAGTAGCGAGAAAGGTTAACTTATTTCTCTCCCCACTTCCTCTCTGGAATATGGCTTTATCGTGTCTTTTCTTTTTAATCTTTGTGTGACTTGGCTCAGGGCGTTGGGGATGAAGCTGAGAGAACACAATGTCTCTTGTGACAAAGATGACAGATTCGTCCAGCTTCAGAAAAGGATGAAACTTTTCAATGATGACCTTACATCATGGAGACCTGTTGTTGGCATGCATTTCTCCCTCCCTCAATTAATGACATTTAGAATCTGAAATGGTGTCTGATGTCTTCCTCCCACCGAGAAAGATTTTCATCCTTGCCACCGACTCATCTTTTGAGGCCCCGTGCTTTGATTATTACATATGGCAGGTAGAATGGAAAGGACTTAGACAATCAGAATAGACATGGAGTCCAAGTTGAGGGTTTCTCTAGCAGAGCTGGAGTTCCAGGCTCGCAAAGGAAAACAGCAGCTGGGAAACAGCAAAAACTTTCTTACCTCTCGGGATCCAACGTGAGCTAATTGTTGTTATTATCTTTTTATTCTTCTGTTTCAGGAAATTGCAGCTTATTTAATAACATTTGAGAAACACGAAGAATGGCTAACCACCTCCCCTAAGACAAGGTAATGTCCCAGATCTTGCAGTTTTTCAAATATGTACAGTAAGTGGATTGATTTGCATTGATTACCTGGTTTGGCCAGTCAATTCCTGGGCAGCAAGTTGAAAGTGCCCTGTTGTGCTGGATGGCGTTCGACATTGAGGTCTCATTCATTGACGTAAGACTGTGGCAGTGAATACCATCGGGTGGATTAAAAAGAGCGCAAGTGCCATCCGCCGGTTGGAACTTGTAACCTGACGGCTGGATCCTGCAGCCGGGTGCTTGGAAGTCTTCACAGGCAGGAGCCTCAGGGGAAGTTTATTTTGGGAATTTCACCTGCCACTAGTGTTCTCTAGAAATGAGCTTTTAAAAAGAGAAACCAGCTTAACTGCCCACTTTTATCTCAACGTGTCTTACAAACTGAAAGTCAAGTTATTCTTGATTGGTGGTAAAGAGATCCCCCCAAATCAGAAGCATTGGCTGAGCTCGCAGTTTATTGTGTAGTAAATGTCCTTGAACCTGCTAACTGCCTCAAACAGCCTCTCTCACTACTTGGGAATAGAGGGAATTGGCCAAAATAGAGCAGACCTGCGTTCCGCTGGCACCAGTGATGTTACCTTGTGTGAAGAATGGTGGCATTGGGACTTAGGGTTGATTTTAAAAGGCAGCCTCTTTTTGTCCTCCCCAACTTCAGGTTTTTATTTTTGGAATGTAACGTTCTAGAGCTTCGGAAATACATGGCCACTCTCTTCCAATTGCCACAATTTTTCTGTTAGCAGTGACAGGGCTCAGGTGTTTATTAGCTGGCGGGGTGGTAGCCGCAGTGTGGTTTACACAGGACACCTGGACTGCAGGCTTGAGCTGGAGTTGTGGAACGTCCTGTCGATTTCACATTGGGAAGCAGCCCCAGAGTCCCCAGGTTTGTTAGCTGGGACCAGGAAAGGGTTGGGTGTGTCCTCTGTGCCCATGGCCCATGGCCTTGACCTGTTCATCCTTCCTGAGTCATGGGAAAGGTCATCCTTAGGGATATTTATTTATTCTGGAAGATACTTAAAAATATCACATTATTAGGCTTGGATATTTACTGATTAGCATCTTTTAGATGAGGGCACAATCCTCCCCTTTGAAGGGGGCTCGAGGGTATTGCTGAAGGAAGATTTGATGTTGAGGTTCCCTTCCCCACGTGGCTCTGATTCCTTTACCTCCAGCCTTAGAGCAGGAGGAGAGTCCCTCTTCAGGAGTCCCCAGTGCCTCAGCCTGTGGGGACTGTGGTTTCTTTCCTTTGCTATAAAATCAAACAGTTGATATCAATCAGCTTTTGCTGTGATAATTCTGTGTAAGAAACACTCTGCAAGCTTAGTGACTTTAAACAACAAACCTTTATTATCTGCCTCATGGGTCTGTGGGCCACCTGTGGCTTCGGGTTGAGGTCATGTCTGCTGCGTGCATCATTTTGCTCTGGGACCTAGGCTGAGAAAGCCCCCTCTGCCTGGGACATTTGCTTCTCCCAGAGGAGGGCAGAGGCTTACAAGCCCAAGGCAGCTGATGCAGGTGCAGTTAAAACTCCTGCTCAGATGTGGCATCATATGTCATGCCTGCTGATAAATCCACTGGCTGAAGCAAGTCCCCTGGCCAACTCCAGTACAAATGGGGCTGGGAAGGGCATCCTTTCAAAGAGTGGGGACAGAGGCGGGTGGTGGAGAGTGGATGAGAATACAACGCATTGTTTGGTGAATATGGCCGTGTCAGAAACTAGAGAGCCTGCCACGCTCATCTCCCCTTTCTTCTGTGCCATCTTCTTTGAGGGCATCATTCTCAAACTTGAGCAGGCATCAGAATCAGCTGGGGGCTCATTAAAGTGCAGGCCACGGGGCTCCACCCCCAGGTTTCTGATTCAGCAGGTGCAGTGATGGGGGGAGCTGAGCATTTGTTATTTCTAACAAGCTCTGAGGAAGTAGGATGCAGCTGGTCCGGGACTGCACTTTGAGGACCACTGGCCTAGTTTTCTGGGGGAGAAGGAGGCTCCTCTGATTTCTGCCTCTGCACCATTTCCTGACTCCCAGGGGTGGCTCTCATCTCAAGCAGCCACCAGCCTCTCCGTGCGCCCTTCACTCCCCACTGAAACACTCCTTGAATCTAAGTGGAAAGAGAAGAGCTCCTCCTTAGCCAGAGTGAGCTGCTCTGGAATGCGTCCCGGGCCAGACATCTGATTTCAGATATGCAGACTTGTGCCGGGTTTCAGCCACCCTTTGACGGCAGAACAGTAGAACATTCAAGGTGGGGGTTTTACCTGGAGGTTCGGCCTTTGGAATTTGGGTTACAGTTGAAATGGGGATGTCACTCAGGGTCCTGCCTGACTCGCTTGACTTTCTGGGGTGTACACAGAGCCGAGAGACCCCACCCTGGCAGAAGAAGGAAGGTGGGTTTCAGATGTGGACAGATCTGGGTTTGAGCCCTGGCTCTGTCACTCAGTGGCCTTGTGACTGTGAAAAGGTCATCTTCGCTCCTTGAAAAGTTCTGCTTTTTCTTCTTCACATAGAAAATGGAGTCGATGTCGATCCTGTCCTTGCTGGGTCACGGTGAGGACTGAATGTAGTCATGTTTCTGATTCTGCTTTGCATGCCGTGCGGGTCTGTGTCCATGGATGAGGGTCTCTGTGCCTCTTATCTGCCGGGCAGTCCCCAGCCTGCTGGAGGCTTTGACTTCAGCAGGCATCTGCCAGGATCTCTCCAGGCTTTGGAAGGACGAATTTCTTTCCCAAAGGCGGAGGATGAAGATGGAAGGTTTCCTATTAGTATTATAATATCCACTCCGTGTTTACACTTGAAAGCTTTTTGTCCCAGGAGAAGGGAAACTTGCTGTGCTTGTTCAAGGACCTTCCTAAATTAGCTGTTGAGTTGGGTTTGGATCCCCCACCCCCACCCCATCTCTAGTATTGAAATTAATTGGTGCAGTTAACTGCTGAGTTCATACAAACTGGCCTCCTGGTATTAAGGAATTAATGACACCAATACTCTGCTGAACGAAAAGGCAATACAACTTCTGTTTGCTGCCGCCGCCGCCACTGCTAATTTCATTTTGGAAAATTAATAAAAATGAATTGCACCACTGACATTTATAGAGTTTCCTAATAAAATGATACATTGTTTGTGTGGAAGAATCCCTATTAAATTAATTGTTGTAATCAGTTCACATATAGATGTTGGTCTAGGAGCTGCAGAGGGGCCCCCTGCTTGTCTCTGTGGCCTGCTGCTGGCTGGGGGTTATAAATATAGTCCTTGCTCAGATACTGCCCTAATTACAGAGAAGGCCCCGGGAGCCCCAGCTCACCTGTTTAATAATGAGGTATGCTACACAGAGGCTCCCAGGGCTGGGGACCCCGGGGGCAGCCGTGGTATCGCAGAGGAGCTGAATGCTGAGTGTTCCAACAGCCCGTATTGTACTCTCAGCAGCTGGGAGCTCCGGTTTGAAAAATCATCCTGTGGGACGTCTTTATTTGGCACTTGCTGTGTGCTCAGTGTGATAATAATACCGTTTGGAGACCCCAGGGAAATTCACACTCCCCACCCTGCCAGGCGAATTGAGACTCTTGGAATGAAGAGTGTCCTCCCTCTGTCTAGAATGTTCTCTCAGCTCCTCCTGCAGGGCTCAACTGGGTGTCCCTTTCTCAGGGAAGTGTCCCTGACCATGTGATTTAAAGCCTCGCCCTGCCCCCACGCAGCCAGCCCCCTTCCCTCCTTTCTTGTTTTACGTTTCTCTGGAGCACCCTGTGTCTGTCACGATTGCCTTGCTTAATTTACGTATGCATTACCCGACCCACTCCAAAGTGTTAGCACCGAGAGGAGAGGGATTTTTAGTGGGGCTTGTTCATGGGGCACCCCTGGTGCCTAGAACAGTGTGGACACCTCCCAGACCCTCAAGAAATATCTGTGAAATGAACGAAAGTGATGTAGAAAGGTGACCCTGAGTGTTGTGAAGGAAGGGACCTGGGTTTTCTCCACTTCTGTTTTTCGGATATTTCTAGCCCCGGGATGGTCCGGTTGGGCCAGCACCGTGATCTTGGGCACCGCCCATGGGCCGGACGCTGTGCTTTGAAGCCCTCCCGGCAGCTCTGCCAGGTGTGGAGGGTGTGTGCCCTCCTGGGGCTGCTGGTGAGTCAGTGCTAGAACTGGCACGTGAACCCAGGATGATCTCACTGCAAAGCCCATAACCTTCACTTTTGTGCCTCTGCTCCCCAGAGTGCGTGTGGAGGTTCCCAGGGAGCTCATCAATAGCTCCTCTGTTCCTCTCCGCCTCTCACTGCCGTGAATTCCAAACCAAGAGAAGCGGGCTCCAGGCAAAGATTCTCTTTGTCAGTAAGTGTGGCTCACACTTGCCAGCCAGGAGGGCTTCCTACCCTGCCCCCCGCCCCTGAATTGGAGTTAGCCCCCCAGTCACAGGCAGTGTGGAAGGACTGCACATTACGGTGGGGGAGAAGGCTCCTGTCACCAGAGGGCAGCGAGCAGGGCTGAGCCCAGTCCAGGCAGGCGACTGTAAAACTGAGCAATCCCAATAATTTATTCCTCCTCCCCTGGGAAATAGGCAACCTTCCCTGGAAGCCAGGGACACACAAAGCTCAAGATCGAAGTAAGAGCATGTCCTTCCCAGGAATCCTGTTTATACCAGTTAGAAAGAGGCTGGAAAAAGCTGTTAATTATCTAATTAATTAATTAGATTGATATAGATAGCACCTCAACACTGAAGCACTAAGGGTCTAGTAATAGAATTTTCCTATAATGAACACTAAATGTTTTTTGGTCAATAAGCAATAAAACAGCCACGTAGAAGGAGGGGGTCTAGAAGGTAAGGAAGAGAAAAGTGCGCCTTGAGTTTCAAGCAGACTCCAGTGGCTCGGAGAGAGCTTCCACTCTCCTCCTGCTGATTTCTTGATCCCATCTGTCCATTGCAGCTTCAAGTGCCCCAGACCTTTCCCCGCCCTGATGGCGATGAACACCAAGCTGTGATCCTCTGCTCTTTCTTTGCACATTTTTCCTTCTGGGCTCCCAGGACTCCCCAGCTCTGTGGTCTGACTGTGAAGTCTCCATGGGTCACTCCCCACATCTGACTCTGTCTCCCTGGCACCTGGACATCGAGTTACCATCTCCAGCTCGCCATCCTCCCCCCTCCCTCCCTGACCCCGACTCTGCTTTCCATCTTGTGACTTCCCTGGTTCTAGAAGAGCCGCCTCATGTTTGGGGACGCCAGGGTGTACACCTTGGACTCCAGGTGGCTTCTCTTTCTTCTTTGTCCCCTGCATCTCATTAGTCACCAACTCTGCCAGCATTTCCAACTTTAATTCACATCCTCATTTTCTTACGTTTCTCCCCAGGTTCGGCTGAGTCCTTACCTCCACTGTCAGGTGTGGAGTACTGCAATGTCTCCTACTAGGTTTTCCTCTCTAAGCAGAACTCCTCCTCATTGGTTTTCCTGATGTGTTCCTTTTTTTCCATCATTCTTCTACTTGAAAGCCCTAGAGACTTCCTGTGAGCTTCCAGCCCCTCCAGGGATGTCTTAAAGGTCACCCTTCTGTCTCAACGCACCCTTTTCAGTTTATTTTCCTTGACGTCCCACCTCCAAGTGCTGCTACAGTTGGGGAGCTGCTGGCTGCTTTCTGAACATCTTTCTTGTCCCCCACTTTGGCCTTCACTTGGCATTGACCTCACCTTGAATGCCCTCAAGTCCAATCCGGTCTGCCTGTTCCTTGGAGCCTTCCCCAAACTCACCAACTCAGGGCGAGCCCTTTTCCCTTCCTGCTCCCGTAGCTGCACGTGCTTTGTTGTCTGTTATTTGCCAATTCAGCCACCATGAGTAAGTCTTTCTTCCCTAGTGGGGTGGCATGTTCCCCAAGGACAGGGTCATGCCATCCCTTTTGTTTCTTATCAGCCTGTGTGCAGGGAGGCCATGGAGTCAATGGGGTAGAGTAGGCAGAAGGTGGACAGAGCGTGGACTCATTGCATGCCAGCAAGTTTGCCCAGGAGGGGGGAGTGCCAGTGCCCAGACCCTGCCATCCATGGGATTCTTTGTCCTAGACAGCCCTTGGGGTCCTGGTGTGGTATCAGCCTGTGAGCAGAGGCCTCTTCCTAGAGAGCTCGTGTTTTCAGGCCCCAGGCTTGTCCCGGTGCAGTGGGGGGCTGTCTTCGTTCAGCACCCCCGTAAGACCCCTGGGAGCAACCTGTTGGCCCCCTTTAAGGCGTCTGCTCCTCAGGACAGACAGTTACAGGACTTTTCTAAGGAAGCCCCCGATTCCTTGTAAAGTTGCTCAAGTGACCAGAATAGAATTGCAAAAATCATTTAAAAATTCCCAGATCTAGAAAGAAATACAATCCTGATACCTCTTGCAACCTGGATGAAGCTTGAGGACGTGACGCTCAGTGACGTAGGCCAGACACGAACGGACACACGTTGTGTGATCTGCTGCCTGCAGGATCTAGAATAGTCAGCTTTGGAGCTGGACAGTAAATAGTTTCCAAGGACTGGGGTGGATGGAGGGAGAAATGGGGAGTTAGTGTTTAATGGGTACAGTGTTTCAGTTGGGGACGATGGATGGTAGTGATGCTGGTGGCAGAGCAATGTGAATGTACTTTACACTCAACTTACACTTAAAAATGGTTAAAATGGTAAATTTTATGTTACATATATTTTGCCACAATTAAAAAAAAATTCCCTGGCCAGGTGCAGTGGCTCATACCTGTAATCCCAGCACTTTGGGAGGCTGAGGCAGGTGGATCATGAGGTCAGGAGACTGAGACCATCCTGGCCATGGTAAAACCCCATCTCTACTAAAATACAAAAAATTAGCAGGATGTGGTGGCATGTGCCTGTAGTCCCAGCTACTCAGAAGGCTAAGGCAGGGGAATCGCTTGAACCCAGGAGATGGAGGTTGCAGTGAGCCGAGGTCGAGCCATTGCACTGCAGCCTGGGTGACAGAGCAAGACTCCATCTCAAAAAGAAAAAAAAAATTCCAGAGTTGCTTCTGTAGCTCTTCTTAGGTATTCAGCTGGGCAGGATTGGAAGGGGTGGGGGAACTCTGTGTGTGTGTGTGTGTGTGCGTGTGTGTGTGTGTGTATGTGTGTGCATGCGTGTGTGTGCGTGCGGGCATGGGTTTTAGACTCAGCTCATTTTAGGACTCTGCACTTTGGAACTACTCAGGAAAAAGAAAACTGGGTCAGCAGTGGTTTCTGCACGGTAACCTTTGCATTATGCTGAGCTGAGGTCTCGCTTCAAATTAACACAGAGACAGTCATGTTAGGTGCATTTCAGCACTTGTGTAATGTATCCAGCAAATCCTTGGCCGAGGCCATCACTGGCCAAAGGGCAGCTATAGGGTGAGGGAGATGGTGGGTCCCATGTCTGTCAGAACTCCCAGGGAGCCCTCCTGCCTGAGGATTTCCTCGCAAGGCACCTGTCACATAGTTTTCATCTATTTCCGGGATGAGATGGGGAGTGAGCTGTGGCCTGTATCCTGATGGAGTGTCTGGCGCTGTCTCGACAGTGGGAGGGAAATCCCCAGCCTCTGCATGGAAATAGGTCTGCCCTGGATTCCAGTTATCTTTATCCTAGTTAATCTCAGAATACAAAATGTCAAAGCAGGGACAACCCACGGAGGCCACTTCCTCACATCCCTCCCCCCACCCCACACCATGTCCAGGAAGGTGGCCAAGGCAGGGGCACTGATGACCTATGGGGGGTGTCACACATGCTGGGCTCCTGATCAGAGGACATGCGAGCCTCATGTGGCCTCAGCCGACTTAGCCACTAGCACCAGCCCAGGGCTCATGTCTTAGCATGCTGAGGGTCAGCCTTCATCCCACCCCTCCTCACTTCTCGGGGCCAGGAGTGCAAGTCATAGGTGTTCTGGGGGAACCAAGAAGGAAGCATTGGTGTTGTGTCTGGTTCCTCCCTGGGTTAGACAGCTACCAACTTATAGCTCCTGCCCCCCACCATTTTTTTTTTTTTGATATGGAATCTCCCTGTCACCCAGGCTGGAGTGCAATGGTGTGATCTCTGCTCATGCAACCTCCACCTCCCAGGTTCAAGTGATTCTCCTGCCTCAGCCTCCTGAGTAGCTGAGATTACAGGTGCCCGCCAGCACACCCGGCTAATTTTTATATATTTAGTAGAGACGGGGTTTCACCCTGTTGGCCAGGCTGCTCTCGAACTTTTGACCTCAAGTGATCCACCTGCCTCGGCCTCCCAAAGTGGTGGGATTACAGGCGTGCATCAGGGTGCCCATCCCCCCTTCTTTTATTATTTGTATTTTTATAAAAATTATACATGTATTTGAGTATGTCAAATGGCTCTAAAAAGCTTGTAAGAAAAGGTAGCAGCCTCTGCCCTACAGCTCAATCCTGGTTCCCAGGGGCGGCTGCTTTCCACTCTTTTGGTTTTGATATTTACCTCCAGATTTCTAAATATGTGGACTCTGCTATTTCTTCATTTGTCAATTTTAGACATCATCTACCAGCTTCCTCAGATGCTGAGGATTTAGCTTTCTTACTGTGTCCGATGCTGGGCTCTGCCTTACCTGGGGGAGGGGCTGGTTCATGGAGGGAGTCAGCTTTCTGTTGGTAACTATGAGGTTCAGCATCTACTTTTTTTCTCCGGAGCCCTCTGGGTTCTCTTGACAAGGATTGGTTGATGTGCTGCCTAGTTTGAGCTGGCCTGGCTGCTAGCGGTCTGAGAACCAGGCAGGGCAGGGGCTGGGAATGCCAGCACTGGGAATGAGAGCTATCACGTAAGTCTCCCAGTTTTTAGCCTGTGTTTCTTGCCTCTCTTCTGCTGTTTCCAAGTTTGGAGTCTTATCAGATTTCAACTCTTCAGAGAATCAATGTGTCTCCCATTGGGGCAGAGGCCAGGGGCTGGTTGCCTGTCTGCTCAGCGTAGACATAGGACCCTGGGGGTCTACTCCCCCCAACACAGATTGGCGAGCTCCTTCTGCCTCCCACCCCGTTCCTAACTTCCGCCTTCTGTGGCACCTGCTGCTTCCAATTTGCGAGTCTTCTGGGGGCCTGGCAGGCCAATTAGCGTGTTGTTCCTGGTATCCCCTGTACGGCACTTGGGTTTCCGCTTCCTAGATTTGACTGTGTCAGCTCCCAACCCTGCATCTGCTTCCCGTCTCTCTAGAATGTGTTGGCATCCCTTATCCACGCTCGTCTCTGTTCCCCTTGGCTTTCTCCTTGTGGGTTTATACTTGTTTTCATTCCTTGCTGTCACTGGTTAGGACTAGTGATGCCGTGTCCTCCCTGCGAGCCAGCCCTGTTTTTTCCTCGCTGGCCTTCGCCCAGAATCGTGCGAGTGGGATCCACTCCCCTTGTGCTCTCCTCCTTCCTCTCTCTCCTCTTCATTCCTGCTCACTCTCAAGCTAACTTGCTGTTTTCCTCTCTTGCTTTTTTCTCTTTTTCCAAGTCTTTTTCAGTCTGCAGAAAGAAATGCCTCCAAGTGCAGTTTGGAGGTTTCTAAGTGTTTCTAAGTGCACAACTGCTCAGGCTGGGAAATCCTGCTGCCAACACGTACGTATCCTTCCTGTGTGCAAGGGCCCAGGTGCGCAGCCCGACCCGCACCCAGCCCCAGCGCAGGCCTCCTCTCCGCCTTCTTAAGGCACCACTCTTAGTTTAGAGCCTTTCCTGGAATTGGCACAAGGGCCATGGTGTGGCCTCTCCCTGAGCAGGATTTCAGGAATCCTGGGGATGGCCAGGGCCATCCGCTTATGCTGTGCATGTACCCTGATGGTGGCATCTCTGTGGCTTTTATTTTTACATGGTTCTGCTTGTGTCTTCTTTGGATTATACCGAGACAAAAGCCTTCACGACAGGGGCTTCATGCCAGGGCATCTGTGAAGCATGCTGGGGTGCCCTGACAGGAGACTGCCCACCCAGGGTGATGCCTGCCAGCATCTCCAAGCAGACAGGCTGGCAGTGATGAATACTTCTGAGAATAACACAGCTCCCTGGCACTGTGCTCATGCAGATCAATAGGTATTTGCATGCCCTGTCCATTTCCATTAATGGTCATTTTGTTTTGTTTCTGCCGCCCCGCAGTTTGTTCTTAGCATCTTCAGCCCCCTCTCCTGGGTTTGGAAAGTTAGGACTGTCTGGTATTTCTGTAACGGGCCTGGATTGGCATCCGTGGTGTTTCCTCTGGATCATTTCTGATCTAATAAGTCATTGCTCACTGCCCATGGAAAGGAAAAGGGAGCTGGTCCGCGGGCCTTGTGGCATTGTGAGGAGGGAAGGCAAGTTCTCAGAATAAGGGATGTTTTGCAATTCATAAGTTTCTGTGTAATGAGTAATCACCAGATCATCTGGTTATTCTGGGCTGGAGATTCTACCCCTGCGCTGTTTGGCTAGGAGGTATTACTGTCTGCTATTCTTAGATTTTTCCACAGTCCTTCTTATGGAGCTTTCTAAAAAAATTAAAAATAAACCAAAAACAAAGGCAGGAAATCTTTTCTGATTCTCCAGCTCTACTGCATAGCCCACTTTCACTTGAGCATTTGCTTTGTGTGGTGTGTGTGTCCTTACATACACGTGTACACACACACACAGCATACATATACACAGCACACACATGTACACACATACAGCGCACACACATACACACAGCACACATACACATATGCACACACAGCACACACACATATGCACACACAGCACACATACACATGTACACACATACACAGCATACATATACACAGCACACACATGTATACACATACAGCGCACACACACATACACAGCACACATACACATATGCACACACAGCACACATACACATGTACACACATACACAGCACACATACACATGCACACACAGCACACATACATATGTACACACATACACAGCACACATACACATGTACACACATACAGCACACATACACACATGTACGCACAGCACACACATGTACACACAGCACACATATGTACACACAGCACACATACACATGCACACACAGCACACACACGTACATACAGCACACATACACATGTACACACATACACAGCATACATACATGTACACACATACAGTACACATACACATGTACACACATACACAGCACACAAACATGTACACCCATAGCACACATATACATGCACACACAGCACACACACATACATATACATGTACACACAGCACACATACATACACAGCACACATGTACATGCACACACAGCACACATACACAGCACACATACACATACATATACACAGCACACATACAGTTGTACACATACACATTACGCACATGTACACAGCATACACAGCACATATACACATGAACACATACCCGGCACACACACAGCATACACATGTATGCACATACACATGTATGCACACACAGCATACATACACAGTACACATGTACACAGCACACATACACATGTACACACGTACACGTACACACAGCACACATACACATAGCACACAGACACCTGTGCACACATACACATGTACACACAGCACATACAGTAGGCATACACAGCATACATATACATGTACACACATATGCACAGCACACATACACATGTACACACACAGCACACTTGCACATGTAGACACATACACACATATGCATGTGCCCAGGCACATACACAGAAGCATACATATGCAGATACACAAGTACACACGTACACATGACACATGCATAAACAAATTTGCGACACACAATACATGCTTGCACATAGCACAGAAACACACATACACACATGTAGGCAAAGACACACATATGCATGTGCCCAGGCACAGACACAGAAGCATATACATGCACATACACACACTACTACACACATGTACACACAACACATGTGGAAGCAAATATTAAACAATGCATACACACAGCACAGAAACACACATATACATATATACATGTAAAATGTGTAAATACACAATACCTACACACACACACACACACACACACACACACACACCCTCCTGTATTGGTCACTGTTCTCTTCTAAGAAGTCTCTGGGAACATTTTTCTTCTGTTCATTATGTGTCTTAGATGAACTTTTTTGGGTAGAGGAAATTTTCTCCTAAAAGAAAAAATTAATTTTTCTATACTGGCTATTCCTGACCTCACCTGGCAGGGAATTTATTGTTAATTAAGCTGTTTAGTTTGAGGTGACCGTGGGGGAAGAGGGAGTGAGAGTCCAGGCTGGGGCAGCCATATCTGGGAGGGGACGGTCCTGCCCTGCCAAGGACAGGGAGCTCGCTGAAGCATTGGTGGCTGGCGTTGTGACTTCCCATCACTCCCTCCCCTGGGATGATCTGTAGGCACTCAGGATCTGAGTCTTTTTCTTTTGGCCTTTGCCTGCAGTGGAATTGAATTTGCATGTAGAATGGCAGCTAGGCTGAGGGACCAGAGAAATCAGCCCACTGCTAGGTCTGGGGAAGGTGATGGCATTATGGAAAGAACAAATATGCGGGTGAGGATGGAGGAGGGAAAGCAGATGAGACACTTTTCCTTCTCCCCAGGAGCACAGCTGGCACCATGAAATGTGCCATTTCCACATATTTTCACACCAAAAATCCATGGCCCGTCTGCCTCCAGTGTCATCGGCTCGCTCTAGTTAATTCAGCTCACCAGTGTTGGGTGATGCTGCCCCTCTGAGGCTGGGGGTTGATGGAGCTGTGTCTGGGGAATAGGTGTCATCTTCTCCCAGGGCTACGAGTGAGCCCTTTTAGTGACACGGAACCGTCACTTTCGTCGTTGGTTGGCACCCACTCTTAGTGAGTACTTTCTGTTCCCCGTGGGCCAGGCGTTGTGCTGGGCATTGGATATAGTGGTGACCAAGTCAGATCATTTATAAGAACTGCAATTGTGAGGAGTGCTACAAGGGTCAGGTGCAGGCAGAGGCTGCCTCTCTAGTGCATGGGGTGGGGAGATTGGGCTGCCTTCCAGAGGGGCTGAGCTTTGGGTAGGGACGTGACGAGCTTGCCCCTTGCCCGTGTGTGTGTGTGTGTGTAAATGTGTGTGCCCACACATGTTGTAGGAAAGTATTTTATCCCTGGGCGTGGCTGTGGTAGCCTGAGCAGATCTGAGACAGGAGGGCATCGGGGGAGTGAAGGCAGGCATGGGTTAGGGAAGGCTGGCTAGGCAAAGTTAGGAATTTGGGGATGATGCCAGGTGCAGTGGAGGTTCCCAGCGGTGGGGGTGTGTTGAACAGGGTAAGTAGCTGAGTTGCTATTATTAACCCACTTGGCTGGTTGCCCTGGTGGTGGAGAATGAACTGGAAGTCCAAGGGTGAAAGTAGAAAGAAACTGGAGTGCTCACATGCCAGTGTAGATACCATTTTACTGATGGGAAGACCGAGACACCGGCTCTCCGAAGGTATCCTTGTCCCATTAGCTGTTACCAGCAAAGACGCAGTGGGGTCTGGCCTTCTGAGTGTGGAGAAGCAGAGGACCTCGGGGGGAACTGGATGCCTGGAGGCTCCAAGCACCAAGCTTCAGCTCCCCCTGAATGCCAGCTGCTCAGACTGGGCTGATGTCAGACCCCCTGTCCCAGCATCTCCTGGCATTCTGCGCTCCTTTAAACCGACTCCCACTCCCATCTCTGTGTGCTCAGCCCCTCCCCTGCTGATCAGGCTCTCAGCTGAGTCTTAAGGAGGGAAGTGGGCTCCAGGGACAAGGGGTCATGCCGGCTGTGGTAACTTCACACCACGGGCCCATTTACAGGTTAGAAAATGGTTGTTAACGATGATGATGGCGATGGATAATGGAGAGACTGCATGGGGGAATTATTCTTAGACATAATTGCCAAACTTCGAATTCTTTTTTAGCCGTGACAGAGAAAAAAACTCTCCCTTCGCTTTATGAGTAAGTGATTTGGTTCAGCTCCTTCTAGAAAAATTCCAGCCTTAACCCTGTCTAACCCATCAGTGTGTGTCTGGGAATATCCCTAGTTACGCCATTTCTCTAGTGCTTAATTTCTTTACCCAGTGCCAGAGGGTCTGCAAGGATATGTATGAGTTTTGCAGTTTATTAATTTTGCATTAAATAATTAATAGTATAGTTAATTGATGAATTATTCAATTTTCAGGTAAAATGGCATGATAAATATTCATAACTTATTTTATTAAGGGAATTTCCATTTCCTATATCATTAAATCTAGATTAACGAAGGCTGATTTTAAATGAAGATTGAAAACAATTGTGCTTTGGAATTAATTTACCAAGTTAAGGTCATTGCTTTGTGAATTTACCCCCTGCCAGAAAGTTCGCACTCATCATCTGGAAAAGTATCTGAATTCACAGAAGTCACGTTGCCATCAGTTAGGAGAATTCCCCAGATCTGCTGGGAACTTCCCGCCAAGGGCACTGACACGACCAGGGTGGAGTGGCCCGAGCGAGGGCCTCTTATTCCTTCCACTGAGCAGCGGGCTGTTGCTTTGAGCTGCTTGTTGGGAGGAAATTGTAACACAGTTATTAACATTAGTCCAAATAAGTTGTGAGGCAGGCTTACATCCCAGGGAAGGAATGATAAGGTGCATATGCCTTAAAGTTGAATTTAAAATAACTTTGGAGCCAGACACGATGGCTCACACCTGTAATCTCAGCACTTTGGGAGGCTGAAGTGGGCAGATCGCTTGAGGCCAGGAGTTTGAGACCAGCCTGGGTAATATAGTGAGATCCCGTCCCCCCATCTCTACAAAAATACAAAAATTATCTGGGCATGGTGACACACCTGTGGTCCCAGCCACTCAGGAGGCTGAAATGGGAGAATCACCTGAGCCCAGGAGGTTGAGGCTGCAGTGAGCCGAGATCACGTACTGTGCTCCAGCCTGGGTGACAGAGTGAGACCCTGTCTCAAGAAATAAAAGGTGGCGGGGGGGAGGGGTTTAGACCTGGTTTATGTTAATTTGTAAAACTGCTTAGAGCACAGACCCACTGAGTGGTGCTGAGAAGTTTCTGAGTATCTTGTAGGCTGCTTACAACTTGCAAAACCCCTTTGGATCTGGGCTCTCAATCCTCTTAACAACCTGGCAAAGTAAGCTAATGTCTAAGGATATACTGAGGCAGCGGGAGACAGAGATGGAGAGAGAGACAGAGAGAGAGGCAGAGACAGAAAGAGACAGAGGAAGAGGGAGAGACAGAGGAGACAGAGAGACAGAGAGAGAGAGACAGAGAGACAGAGGCAGAGGGAGACAGAGGAGACAGAGAGGAGACAGAGACAAAGGAAGAGGAGAGAGAGGTGAGAGGCAAAAGAGAGAGAAAAGATGAGAGAGAAGAGAGAGAGGGGAGAGAAAGAGGAGAGAGGAGAGGGAGAGGAAGAAGGGAGGAGGAAGAGAAGAAGGAGAAGACGAAAGAGGAGGATAAGGAGGAATAGAAGAATAAGAGGGAGAAGAGGGAGGAGGAGGAGGGAGGGATGGAGGGAGAAAGAGAAGGAGAGAGATGGAGCGAGCCACGTCTCACACTCAGCCTTCTTTTTCCTGTCTGGCCACTTCCTTCCACTCATGGATGAGGAAACTGAGACCCAGAAATTACGTGACTTACCCAAGGTCACTTCAGCTAATTAGGTACAGAAGTTGGGACTAGAGCCCAGCTCTTTCTTTTTCACATTTGAGTGCTTTTTTAAACTTCGGTGTCTTTCTTAGCACTTTAAAATAACTTTTAACCACCCCCGAGTAGTGGAGCACTTGAGAGTATTTATAACCCTGTGGAACCACGTTTCTCTGCCTCACCAAGTGTTCATTATAATTTTCCAGTGAAACTTGTTTGCTCGGAGGAAGTTGATCCTACGGTAAGCCTTCATTTCAGAGGAGAGCATTTGATGTTGCATCTCATGAACCTGCTCTCCTAAAATTATCCCTAATTGGCTTGGAAAGTGGCTTCCAACAAGCAGATGGCTTAATATCTTGACTTTCTGGTGTGACTCAGGAAGGCACCGGGATTAGATCTAGTTTGGGATTGTGGTCTTGGTATTTGGTGGATGAGATGCTATCGGGAACGTGCAGACTGGAGTGGCAGCCTCCGGGGAGACATGGAAACCACTAGGGATAGCCCTGTCATCAGGGATGTCAGATGGCAGGTGGGGTGGGGAGATGGGGCCTTGGAACGCAATTCCATAATGTCTAGCATTAGTCAACAAGCCGTTATTGAGTGCCTGCTGCGTGGATAGTTTTGTAGTAGGCACTGTGGGGTTACAAAGGCAATATAAAACATGGCCCCTAATCTAATTGGAGAGACAAGTCACGCATATCTGAGATAACTAGAGAGAATTTCCCAGACAGTACATGACGGAGAGCCTGGTGTGCGTGTGTGTGTATTTGTGTGCGTGTGTGCATGCGTGCGTGTGTGTGTGCATGCCCCCACACACACACACACACACAGCTGTGGGAGGAATGCAAAACGGGGCCAAGATCAATTGGATTCAATTGATTTCATTGGGAAAAACAGCACAGCAGCATTTGTACGGGTGAATTTCAATCAGGAAATCGTGAACTTTGGTGGGGAACGGCGTGCCCTGGTGGGGGACGGGAGAGACGATGCTTGGACTTTTCTCATTCTTAACCCCACAGAGAGCAGATTAATTGGTGGTGGTAGCATACATGATAAGGTTCTGGAGGCCATGGAATGCAGGAAGGTGAGAAGAAAGCCGAGCATCCTCGCAGGAGTCACCTCCCGGAGGGGAGGGTGCTGCTGGGATGCCTTTTATGTGCATGCTTAGTGGGAGCCTGGCTGGGGCTCAGCCAGGCAGAGCTGTCTTTCCCAGATCTGCTCCCTGAGCTGCAGGGCTGCACTCGAGGGCACAGCCTGGCCCCATTTAATGAGCATCTAGGAAGGCACTGTGAGGCCAGGGGGCCTTCCCAAGCAGGGACTCCAGCCCATGTCTGTCTATTGAAAGCCTGCTTGTCCCACTGTACCTCTGAAGCTAATGGGACTATAAATGGAAGTGTTTATAAGGTCACCCTGATGAGTCACTGGGATTATCTGCCTGCTGACTTCTTCCTACCCTTGAGAATGGTGCCTCTCAACCAGGGAGGCAACTACCCACTCCCTCAGTCCCGTGCGACATTTGACAATGTCGGGAGACATTTTTGGTGGTCACCATGGGAGGGGCCAAGCTGCTGGCATCTGGGATAGAGGCTGTTGATGCTGGGAACCATCCTATGGTGCACAGGACAGAGCCCCGCATGAGTAAGTTATCCAGTCCCAAATAATGATAGCAAGAAGTCAGTGAAGAGAGTTCTTACCTAAGTGCTTGGTGGTCAAGAGCCAGGCTCTGTATATGAAGCCCAGTTCTCCCATTTAGTAGCAGAAAGTTACCTTCCCATGGTGCCTCAGTTTTCTCATCTATATAATGGGAATAATAATAGTACATATTATCATGAGGAGTACATGGGTGAAGCGTGTTGAGCACTTAGGGCTTAGTGTCATTGGTGTGTGATTGACAATGATCTCCCCAGGAATCCGCTCTGAACAGCAGCCCCAGATGGCGCTGGGCTCTGTACGCACACAGCCCAGTTCCTCACTTCTGCTTTTGTGGTTGTGCAGAAGGACGGCCTGGACTCTGACGTCATTCTCGATTACCAAAAGCGATTCAACGATCCTTGGGGTGAAAAGAGGTTCAGAGAGGAAATAGGGGAGAAAGCTCACAGAGTCCATATCACAACATTCAACAAAGAAGAGCATTTTAAATAGGAGGTGGTGGTGAAGAGAGTCAAACGCTGCATGGGAAGACAAGTTAAGAGTTCAAACTATTCATCCAACAAATACTGACCATTGGATTAGTTACCTATTCCATTGTGACTAATTGCTTTAAAACTCAGTGGCTTAAAATAGCACCTATGTATCATTTCACCCTGTCTGTCCATCAGGAATCCAGGACAACTTAGCTGGGTCTCAGGGTCTCTCTCAGGGCTGCAGTCAAGGTGTTGCTGGGGCTGCAGTCTCAGCTGAACACTCGACTGAGGCAGGACCCACTCCCAAGCTCACTCATACATTGTGGGAGGATTCAGTTCCTTGTGGGCTGTTGGGCTGAGGGCTCAGCTCCTCTCTAGCTGTTGGCCAGAGGCTACCCTCAGTTCCTGCCACATGGGCATCTCCAACAGGGCAGCTTGCTTAACCAGAGTTAGCAAGAGACTCAGGGTGAGCAAGACAAAAGCCAGGGGGCCAAAGTGGCTTCCGCCAGAGGTCGTGGCGCTTGCAAAGGCGAGGTCATGAGTTCAAGGCTAACCTGAGCAACCTCATAAGCTCAAACCGATTGGCAAAAAAAAAAAAAAAAGACAAAAGCCAGAGTCTCTTTGAAAATAAATCTCACAAGTGACATCCTTCCACTTTGGTGCCATCTGTTTCTTCGAAGTGAGCCAATAAGTCCAGCTCAGGTCAAGGGAAGGGGATCCTACAAGGGTGTGGATTCCAGGAGCAGGAATGACTGGGGGCTCCCTCAGATGCTGCTGCCACACTGTGCATTACATGGAAGGATGGGTAAGAGGGGCCAAGTGTAGGAAGAACAGGCCACAGACTGGGAGTTCACCATGGCATCAGTACACACTCTCTGGGTGGCATTGGGCAAAGCATTTTTGCCTTTCTGGGACTCAGTTTCCTTCTCCTTACAATGGCTTAATTGGATATAGGGATGGCAAATATGCATGATCCATCAATGCCCAGAGCAGATATCACCACCCATGATACAGTCTTCTGTGAGCTGGGCGCACCCTCAGAATCCCTCCTAACCCAGCTCTCCTTTCAGACAGACACAGCTCATTGATCAGAGGTAGCACTTGTGTGGAAATCCATCTGCCATTCCTGTGCTATCTGCAAAGAGACCTTCTGTGCTTATGGCACCACAGACTGCCAATCAAGACATCACAGTAAAAATGGGCAGATGAATCGTCCTCCCGTTGGCCCGAGTGAGAAAGCTGACTCCTTAGAGATTAAGGACTGGGGGTCCTGGTTCTGCATCTCAGCCCTTTCCTTCCCAGAAAGTATCCAGTGTCTAGATGGGATGACGCAGAGGGGACCCTGCTGAGGAGCCCATCGTGGGATTCGCTTGACCCAATGGGGTGGGCTCAGCCTCGCATCTTCTGTCTGATTCCTTGTGGGGGCAGATTTGGCCTCAGTGGCTCTCCTGCCTATGGTGAGCTGGAAAGAGAGCATGGGTCTTTCTGGAAATGAGCCTGAGGTGGCCTGAGGTGTTTCTGCATTCAATTTATCTGAGTTTCAAGTGATTCATCCTGTTCCTTCCTGGATCGCGTTCCTGGGCTCGAGGTGATGGCTTAATTTGCTTCTGAAATCTGGATCCCACCCATTCACTCTCTTCCAGTAGCTGCTGGGGGCATCCTGTTAACAAGGAACACAGCACATTTTCTGGGCCGTGTAACCCTTTATCCCAACCCATTAGAATTTCAGCACCCTTTCCCTTTTTTCTTTTCTTTTTTTTAAGTTTCTTTTCCTGAAGGGCTGGAATGTTCTGAGGCAGCTTAATAGACATCGATTTGCAATGATTTTTAGCCACTGTGCTTCAGGAGAGTTGAGGAGCTGATGATTAATCCTCGAAACAGCTCTTCCCTTTTGTTTTAATGTGACCTAATAGCTGAATTGGGCGAACAGGCCGGGCCAGCCTGACTCAGTTCGTCTCCTTGTCTTCTGTGGCTTCATTCAAATGAGTCCGCGGTGAATTATTCAGCCCTGCTGCAGGGGAGAGCGGGTGCCCCTCCTGTAATATTTAATCAGCAGCCTGGGAGGACAGCATTATCTTTACAGACAGCTGCTGCTCACTTAGAGGCAGATGAATGAGTGTTCTTAGAAGCTGGGTTGGATTCCTGCCTTTTTAAGGAAGGTGGTTTGCCCTCTGATCTTGGAGGGATGGCGCTGCTCCTCGGGCTCACCGATGATCCCTTTGGTGGATCTTCTCTATGTCAGCAGAAAGCAGCGCCCGGGGCCTCCCAGCCTAGGGACTCTGCGACCTCCATTCCCAAATGTGCTCCTTCAGCAGTAACAAAACACCCCTTACTGCCCCTTAAGCAGTAAGAATTAATTGCTTAAAATGACTCGGGGCCGGGCGCGGTGGCTCACACCCATAATTCCAGCACATCAGGAGGCCGAGGCGGGCAGATTACCTGAGGGCAGGAGTTTGAGACCCACCTGGCTAACATGGTGAAACCCCATTTCTACTAAAAATACAAAAGATTAGCTGGGCGTGGTGGCGTGCACCTGTAGTCCCAGCTACTCGGGAGGCTGAGGCAGGAGGATTGCTTGAACCCGAGAGATGGAGGTTGCAGTGAGTTGAGATCACACCATTGCACTCCAGCTTGGGCAACAAGAATGAAACTCCATCTTAAAAACACAGACTCAAATGCACTGTCTTACAGTTCTGTATGTTAGATGTCTGACC